GACATCAACGACATCATCCCCGACTTCAAGGATGACACGGAAAACCCGCAAATCACACTCTCAGACGACGAAGGAGCAGCAGCAGCAGCAGCCGAAGACGACGACTCAGCCTCAGACTCGGACTCCCGCCCCTCCAAAAAGCGCAAAACCACAAAAGACCTCAAAAAAGACCGCCTCTCGGCCAAGAAAGCAGCAAAGCTCCAGCGCGCCAAACTCGAAGCCCTCGTCGACGCCAAGATGGACCTCGACGCCGCCGACATCCCCGGCTCCTCGTCCCTCCACAAATCCGCCACCGAAGCCGCGGCCGCCAACGAGGTCCCCGCCTTCCGCTACCGCGAGACCTCCCCGCAGGCCTTCGGCATGACGGCCCGCGACATCCTCCTCGCGCCCTCGGACGCGGCGCTCAACAGCTTCGCCGGCCTCAAGAAGCTCGCCACCTTCCGCGACCAGGAGAAGAAGCGCAAGGACAAGAAGCGGCTGGGCAAGAAGGCGAGGCTCAGGCAGTGGCGGCGGGAGCATTTCGGGGAGGAGTTTGAGAGGACGGGACCGACGTTCGGGTTGGAGGACGTGGAGATCAAGGAGAAGAAGGGGCGCAAGAGGGGTGCGAAGCGCGCCGCGCAGGAGAAGCGCGAGGGTGGTGGAGTGGGAGACGAGGACGTCGAGGATGGCGGTGCTGCGCTTGATGGTGGGAAGAAGCGGAAGAGGTCTAGGGGGAAGAAGAAGGCTGATGAGAGTATTGCCGCGGAGTGAGTAAAGAAGAGGAAGAAACTTGTGGTGTTGTTTAATGTCGTTGTTTGCATAGAAAGGATTCGTTCGGGTATAGAAAAGAGAAAAGTAGTAGTTCATTTAGACCACAACGATACCATGTACAGATTTGGATCTCCCGGTTGTAAGTTTCACACCAAAAGTTATCTAGTTGAGGGGGGACATTATAGTTTGCAGATATCTTCCTTGATATTTTGCATTAGGAGTTTCGGTGGTGGTATCTCACAAGAAGAAAATGTGCAAGAATCAATCGCTAGCTAAGACCGCATGAGATTTTGTCTCCTTCCCCCCCCTTCTCCCGTCCATGTTCCCGTGCCATGCCATGCCCATCCGTCTTTTTTTCCCTTCATATACGTCATAAATTTGGAAAAAGAAAATGGAGAAGACGATTCTCCGAGACAAGATGTACAATGCAAAGTTAATACAATGCTTCAGAGGGTTGACAAGACACCTTCTACAACAAAGCTCATCGCGCTCCGTGATGCAACCCGCTGCCAAACATGTTGCCGAACCCGTCAATATTCATACCCATATCCTGCCCGATCTCCGGCGGCTCCATGTTGAACGGCATGAACCACGCCGTCGACGCCTCCTGGCCTCCGAACCCCATACCCTCCCCGTGTCCGTGGCCGGGCCCGCCCATGCCATTGGGACCGCCGCGCGAGGGACGCGAGCGGGCACCGTCTCTGTGCGCTCCCGGTGCGCTGTGGGCGCTACTCGGCATGCCGTCCCAGTCGATGCCGTCAAAGTGGCTCATGTTGCCCTGTTCCATGGAGTACCCGCCAAACACGAGCTGCCGGTCCAGGGGCTGCAAGATGCCGTTCTGTTGATTCATCGACATGTTGAGCAAGTCGGGAGAGAAGAATGACGGTGTGCCCGGGTGGTGGTGCCCGTACTGGCTGACGGCGATGGGACTGATGGGAGATAGGGCGTGGTAGTTGGAGCCTTGCGAATGCGGCACGGTGAGGGGATTGAAGCTGGTCGGTCCGCTTGTCTGGCCGCCGAGCGAGCCTTGTTGCATGCCTCTCTGTTGTTGCATGCGGGCACTCAGTTGCTCTTGCGCCGTGGCAGCAACGTTCTCGGTGGAGAGTGGTTCCAGTTGGCTTCCATCTGCTCGCATGCCCGGAGTGCCGAGTTTCTTCCCGACGAAAGACTTGCGCTTGAGCGGGTTTGGCCTTGACGAATTGCCTTCTGTGCTGCGAGGTGGCGACAAACTCGTAAAGTATTCCTCCACGGTGTGTAATTCTGGCTTCTGCTCCAACACGGCGTCGTCGCCCTTCTCCTTCTTCTTCGTAGATGCTGGGTCGGAAAAGTCGGATTGTGAAACGCCGTGGGGGTATCGGTCGAACCAGTCGCCGTACTGGAAGATGGGGGAAGCCGTTGACGTCTCCTTTGCCGAATTGCCCTGTCTGGCGGCATCGGCGTATGTCCTGTATTGCTCACGGAGGTTCTCAGACATGTAGTGGAACATGCCCCAATACCTCTTCATCTTTGAAAGAAACTTGACATTTGTCGCCAGGTTTCGTTTCGACGCTGCCTCGACAGCAGGATTGCCAGAGAAGATGCCGAGTATGTGGATCGTCCCAGACGAAAAGGCGCAATAGCCGACAAAGGGGGCAGTCACCATGTGAGACTCGGCGTCTTTGAGGACCTCGGAAATCCTGTTGGCGGCTGCAAACGTCTTGTCGCCTGCCTTGGCGACAAACTCCCGAGGAACGCCTTGAGCAGCGGGGCTGTTTGGCGTTGAAACGGCAACTCGGTTGAGGAAGAGAACGTTTTGCTGCATCGCGATGTGGAGGAACAAGAATTGGTTCGCCATCTTTTCCGTATCGTGGAGCGCGACGTTCTCGGGTGAGTAACGAAGAAATTCTGGAAGGTTGTCGAGCAAGTCTTCGGACTGCTGCAGCAACTTGGTGTACTCAGATTCGGGGCTCCAGATGGGATGGGGGTCGAGCTCCTTTCCTCCTTGGTTCAGATAGTTGATGACTCTACCCCAGAGAGAGATGGTCTTGATCATGTGAGCGGCAACGCCCATGTTCTCTTTCGCATCGGCCATTTGACCATCCTCAGCAGACACGGGATGAGGGACCTTGCCCTTCAGGGTTTCCGTCGGGGCTGGCATATCGAGCTGGAAGTATTTTTCTTTGATCGGTAGCGGAATTTCAATCGTCTCTTCCCTCACAAAGGTAGGTCGTTCGGTACCGGAGGAGTTGAACCGGTCCATGAGAAAGCATGCCCACATTGTCCGGCGCCGGATCTCGCGGTCGATGAAACTCAGCTGCGATGCTCCGCTGCGATTCAGGGGATCGTGGTCCAAGTCTTTGTGAAGTTGTAGAGCAAAGGCCATGCGGATTGCTTGGCCTCCTAAAGCCCAGCTCCTACCGCCATGGCACGTCCCAAACTCGTGAAGGCCGAGGATAAGTAGACACGTCAGGATCGTGATGTTAGGCCACTCATATCGCCTGGTGCAGATGTCCCGGGCATGCGACGCCCACTCCTCGCCACGGAGAAAGTTTGGTGATGAGTTGTTGAGTTTCGGGTGGCTGGAAAAGCGGGCGGCTATCGCGCAAACGGACAGTACGAGTACTGGCGGAAGCGTGCCAGCTCTGCGTATTCAAAGTCAGCAGTTGAATCACGAGTACATTCTCACGAGAGAAGACATACCTGAGTTTTCTCATGTAGCTGGGCTTGTGGAGCAGGTGGTATGCTTGGCCGTAAATGTTCTCGAAAAATACCTCGGCTAAATGTTCCTGGATTTCCTTGGACGGAAGTGCATCGAGCCCCTCCAGGAAGAGCTTGTTCTCCTCCGCTTCCTGCGCTTGCAACGACAAGTTCTTGTTTGGCGTTTCAATTCTCGTCTTGGCCGGCGCTTTTGCCCAGTGGTCGAGATCCTGACCAAATGCTTCGTCGGCAACTCGCTTCTTGGAGTTGGCTTTAGCTGCGGGGAGTGATCCCGGAATTGCCGGTTTAACCACGGCTCGGGTCAGCGACACCGCATTGGAGTCTTGCTCGTTTTTCGGCACAATTTTGATGATGCGCTCCTCCATACGCTTCAGTCGCTTGTCCAACATGGCCATGTAGTCGGTCCTGGGCGCGGCTTTCCTGGTTGTCACCTTGTACACACAGGGAATCCGTGATCGAAGGCAATGCTTGCACGCCGGCTTTTCTCCCGAGCATCGAATCTTTTTACGTCGGCATGCGATGCACGCTAGAGGAAGTCGCTTTCGTTCTTTGCCGGCCTTGGTCTTCAACTCGCTCCATGCGGGCGTCTGGTCTGTCTTGTCGTCCTTGGATTTGCCGCCCAGGTCGGACCCGTTGCCGGCGATTTGCGTAGGTAGGCCAAACTCATCGGCACCGGCATCCTCGAGTGGATTGTGCTCGGCGTGGCCGCTGTCCTGGCTGCCATCTTCCGAGGTAATGATGCTATGGCGGCGCTGGTTCATGGCCTGCGCAAAACCGACAGGCATGACTGTTATTGAGTTTTGGCGGCCACCGATGGAGGAGACGGAGGGGCGATGCGAGGTCGGGAACATGTCGGCAGCGTGATCTGGTTCGCCGAGGAACATCATTGCGCTTTGGTCGTCCAGCGGGTTCGGGGGGAAAGAAAAGTCGTCGGCAAAATGGGAGGCATCGACGACGCTGTGGTTCGCGCTGTTGGACCGCATACCGTCATTTGGGGTTCCAGAGGAGAAGGGTTGGTGGGACGCTGAGGAAGTGGTTATATGGGAATGAGCGCCGGGCGAGTCGAGAGCGTGGGCATGAGGGTGCTGCTGCGAATATTCGAGACTGACAGCTCTGAGTTGTTGGCTTTGGAGCTGCTGCAGGCTAGATGACATTGTCCTTTGTCATGCACGAATCAAGGGGATGATCAACGGAGAGGCGACAGTGGAAGAAGACGGTGCCGAGCGAGCTGGCAAGCTGGCTCCCCGCACAACGCCGGCGCTGAGGACGGCGTTCGTCCCTGTCCCTGTTTATGCCTTTGGACCGCGGTCACCGGTGTAAGTGTGAGTTGGAGCAGTGGGGGAAGAGGGTCACAGCGGTCGCAAGGAAGAGGCACCAGGCGGCGGAAAGACTCTGTGGTGATGGCTGGTATTGATGTCGAGGCCGAGGAATAATCAATCAGGTCGCGTGCGCACGTCTTGGCTGTCGGTGATGAAGATGTTGTCGTGCCGTCTAGTGTTCTCGAGAGGATAAGAAGGGGAATGTTCCACAAAGCTGGCGACAGTAGCACAAAGTTAAGAAAGAACCGGGACTGGAAGGCTGGAAGGGTGGGCGGGGGGCGGAGAGGAGAAGAGGCGTCCGGTCGAGATTTGTCGGAGAAGAGGAACTCTGACTCGGCCACTCATCGAGCAGCAAATAGAGAACCAAAAAATAAAACAAAAAAACCTCCTACCAGAGACACAGAGGGGCGCAAGACTGGGTCTAGGTCTAGGTCAAGGTCCAGGTCTACCTAGGTGGTCAAGGGCAAAAAAAAACCAAACCAAACCAGCGGAGCAGATTTATGATGCTCACTGCTCAGAGAGGAGAAAGATGGGTGATGGGGAATGTCGCCGGCTTGTTCGTGCAGCAAAAACTGGGGTTGGGGAGGGACGGCCGGGCGGGGAGGGGGAGGGGGGGCGTCGCACAGAGAATGGAAGGATGTAAAGGGGGGGTGTGGTAATCGGCGACCTGTGATTGCTTGGAAGGGCCGCGGATGCACCAATCCAAGTGGGCGCAGCTGTGGAGTTGCAGGTTGCAGGCGTGTAGTCCACTGCCAGGCGCGGGGGGCGTAGGTACACGGCGTGCAGGTGGGAGAAGAGTTGGAGACCTTTTTTTTTCCCACACTTCTTCTTGAACTTCTCAGCACCGCTGCACCGCACCTCAACTTGCAGGGGGGGCTCAAGCAATGGGGGATCGGAAGCGTTTTCGGCGGTCAAATTGTGGGGTGCCGTGGGTGCGTGGATGCTTCGCTGGAACACGGCCGGGGGGAGTTAGGCGGGTGACGCTGTGACGGTCGTCGAGGTCACTTGAGATGTGCGTCTGTCGTCTGCGTCTGCTTCTGCGTCCGCTTTTGCTTCTGCTTCTGCTTATGGTTCTGCGTCTACGCCTGCGCTTTCTTTAGTATCTATCCATAAGGTAGGTATGTAGGTATTTGGTTTTGCGAAGTGCACACTCAATGCAGCCAAGGTGCTCTCTGTAGGCTCGGTAAGTGCCGCACTCACTCACCTCTGGACTTTCTCTCTCTCCTACCCTCTTCTAACCTAGGTATTTCGCATGCGATAGTACTTTGGTGGCGTGTTCAACCGAGGCTTTCCCCGTCTATCCAATTCGCTGGCAAATAAGGTTCAGCTGTTGTTGCTCCTTCTGGAATCTGGTCAGGGGATGTCTCTTGGGCCTGCTGCTTGTTGATGCTGACAGAATGCTCACAGCGGTGCTGACTGTTCCAACAATGGGGTCTCGCTCTCAGGCACGGCCCAAGGAAAGAATAGAGATCCCCGTCGTCCTCCACGGTGGGGCTGTGTGTGTCTCTCTCTCTCCAGGTTTGATTGTGGGCTCTCTTGCCTCGTCTCGTGATTTCCAGATGAGGGACCAGATGCCCAGAAACCTTATGTACACAATAAGGTAATCCAGCCGCAGACCATGTATCTGCACGAACTCAACCTCTCTCTCTGGTAACTCTCACCGCGGGATGAATGTGCGTATGGGTGACAAGTCTGTCGTACGTCGTATACCGGGTTGGCTGACAGGTTTCTCGTCTTCTTGTGGCTTGTCGGGCTGCCCAGGTGTTGCTGTGGAATTGCAGAGTGGAGAGGACGGATACTTTGCCATGTACCAGCACTAGAGGCTTGCGGTGGCTGTGGCTTTGACCGTGGGAAGGTTAGTTCCGCCCTTTCACACTGAGACTCAGCGACAAAGTGTTGGTTTGGATCAAGTCGCAAAGGCGAGCTAGCATAACCGAGAACAATAAACTGCAAAAGTGTGACGTGTGCAAAGATGTGCGGGCGATGCCTTCAAGATCTGCCAAGCTTTTCAAGCGCGCAGGAGATATCCGTCATGCCGTCCAGAGTAGACGAGGTATCAGTACTCGTCCCAACCCAATTGAGAGTGGGCGTGGGGCTTTATAACAATCGTTCGAGGTTCGGATAGAGAGGCTGCATAAACAGACATGAACACAAAGTCAGAGCCAACTCCATCGAAATACAACGTATCCAAGATGGTACAAACATCATACCGCCAGAACTGAGCTTCACTTACAAACCACACAACACCTACACTGCCAGCTTCAACAAGCCCAGTCCCTGCAACCCGACTCAGGTGTCTCATATCTTCATATGCCTGTATGGAAAGAGGAGGGTTTGGAAGCTCCGGGAGGGTGAACAGGACAAAAGTGGGAGATAGCCCGAGGTTCCATATCGAGGTCGGTTCCATATCGAGGTCGGACTTTTTTTGACAGATATGAAGGGCGCACGGCAAAAAAAAAAAAAAGAAAGGCACAACCCAGCTTGTCTCTTCGTCTCTTCCATAGTAAAAACACACCCACCAATATGGTGATACCTGAGAAATAGACTTCCACCGTCAAGTCCCTGAAGTCGGCCTGGACGTTACATTCAGCGGCCCAACGACAAACATGTCTGGTTGTATGATCGATACCACGATTCACTGTAGCCAACGAACGCATCGATCGCGGTCCATTTGACTCAACGTCCACGGCAAGAGACAGTTGATATCATTGAGCTGTTTGCGATCCTCGTAAGCACACTTGTCGGACCGCGTTCGGTCAGCAGTTAACCCTCCACTCGCCCTCTTCGGCCATGAACAGACCCAAATTGATCCTCGCGTCTCTACGACCCGTCTTCGATGGTTGGGTTCTCGCCGACTCTGGTCTAGCACTCTAGATAGCTAGCTAGGGCTGCCCTTGATTTTTGGTGGTGACCGCTGCAGATGAAAGGTTCTCCAGTGCCATCCCAGCCCAAGACCCACGATGGCAGTGCGAAAAGATGTGGATGCCTTCACCATCACAAAGTGGGTGGGAGCCGGGGGCACTGGGCATCCACGCCAGAATGTGGACCAAGAAGTCGAAGGGGTGGCCATGGGGCATGCGCCTAATCAGGGATGAATCGGGGGGATCAAGTGGGAGAGCCGGAAGCCCAGTGGATCCGCAACCAGAGGCAACTTCCGAGACTCTCCCGGTGCGAGTGGATACCTATGCGCCGTGCCCAGACTAAAATACTTTTGTACGAGGATGCCATGATATTCTGGTGAGCCGTTGACATTGACCAATTTCTGTCAAGTCTGTAAAGACATGGGTATCGAATTAAAGCCAGAGATACCGAGTTCGACTGTGCGCTTCTCCGTGGTGTGGCATATGTTGTTGAGGCGCGGGCGGGGAATAAACGTTCCGGGTGCCAAACGTGTGTAGAACCCAGAGGTCCGCCGTTGCATTTGGTGGCATGCCGTGGTCTATCCAGACATATTCTTGGCCATCGGTTCGGTATGAGTACTACAGCCGCATTCCAGCAGCGAGCTAGAAAGAACACCAACGTTTGGCGAAGAAACGGGATAGGCACTCGCCGTTCTATGAATGGTGCATCGACGATATCGCAAACACCATACCATCCCATCCTAAGAGGCAATAGCAGGTGATCTTGCGGCCATGTGTGTCCGCCGCAGAGAGGCATTCCAAGAGGCATCATGAAAGGTGGTTGGCCGCCTGCGGCTGATCCCCTGTAACCCTACTACGGTGCTACCGTGTTTGGCGCCTCAGATATGTGGTGGAATCTCATCCTCATCACGTCAGTGTCTACGGAGTACTGCGTACACCGTTGCTTGTGTTGCATGTCAGCAAAGTGCCAAAGAAGGCCGCCGTCAACCTGCCATGGCCTACCTGGTCGGCCGTGGGTTCCACCAGGAACGGCCACAGCAGGGCGGCAGCGGCCAAGGGACCCCGGAGACGGACCAGGAGCCAGCACTGCAAGCCTGCATCGGTTTGGCCTTGATCCGTGTTTGTTCCGGCTGGCCCAGACCACCCTGCAGCCCTGGTGCCTCGCCTGCTGCAGATTCACAGTCAAGTGTGGTGGATTCTCGTCGACGACGACCGGATCTGTACGGGATGGCGCCCCGATTGCGACCCCTGTAGCCAGTACTTCTTGTTTGGACAAGACTTGAATTGAACTCTGACAATACCTGGCGAAGGGGGGAAAAGTACGAAGCCTCTAAAGAGCCACTAGCTCGGGTTTCAGCGGCGCCAACGGAATGGGGCGTACGGATAGGCGTCGGTAGGCGCGCAGGCATATCATCTTGAGCTGGTTGTTTGGTTTGGCCGAAGTTGGATCGTGGGGACTACCTAGCACATTGAGGCACTTTGCGACCTCGAAGCGTAGCATCTGAGAAACCCCGTACATGATTGCTTGATTCTTCTTGGGGACGTGTGGATTCGAATCCAGCATTGCTGAGATTGAACATCTAAATTCGAGATGGAACCCAAGGGTGATCTTCCTGAGGGCCGGGGGGGTTCAGGTGGTGTAGAGGACGTCATTCGGCCAAATCAGGGATAGGGTAGCTTCAGGTCCTCCTAAAGCGCTGTGTATGGTCACGAAGGGTCGGTGTTGCCAGCAGGTTGAGATATGAATCTCCGACAAGGGCAGCTGCAAGAAAGAATAGAAGTCCTGATGGCTAATGGCTGAAGTCTGAAGTCTGAAGTTTGTCTAAGGTCTGAAGAACGGCTTGGTCTTGAGCCAACGAGGGCGAGGATGAGGCGTACCGATTTCATCAGAGTGGCGGATCGTCTGGAGCGGTCGAAATTCGGGGTTGACAAGACAAGTTGGAGAAGAGGACCGGATGGGGATGGAGCAGGTAGATCGTGATAATATCTGAGCGTTGATAGGAGGGAGGGATTTTGGTGGAGGTCTGTGAGGGTTGGGGTGTCTGTGTTTGTCTGTCACTCTGTCTGCACGACAGCGACGAAGTGGTGGGAGTGGAAGTGGGAGCGGGAGTGTGGAGGGCAGACGCTAGCAGAGCAGGGCAGACCTGAGCCCAATTGAAAGGACCCACCGTACCTTGGCTATACCGCAGTATGTTCCCTTCTACCTTAGGAGGTCGTGTACCGACCCTTTGATTATTGTTGCTGATGTAAGAGACGCCATGTGGAGAGTCAGAGGCGTGTCTACGCAGTAACTCTGCGGATTCACGACCGCAGTCTAAGAAGTAAGGTACCACGGCACTGCGGCACCTGAGCTTTACTTGGAGAAGGTCTGGCCTGGGCTGTGAGGGTGGCGATTGAAGGGTGTCTAGACTTGGGATTCCAAGCGTAAGGTAGGTAGCTTGCCCGCATTGTTATTGTTCCGCGTGGAAAGCACGAAGGTGGAAGGGTCCTGGCAACACAAAGAAGACGGCGTGGATGGGATGGGAATCCGAGCCACACATGCCAAGATGACAATTCTGAGACCTCCACGTTCAGGAGTCCCGGGAAACAGGTCAACAAGTCAGGAACAGGCCCAGACTCAAAGCCTAGCAAAAGTCCTTGGCACTCATCACATTTCTTTGATCTCTTCATCTCAGAGTTCAACCACATCTGGAATCCGCATGACCCTTCCATTCATCTATCCAGGTCAACATTCAAAACGGGACTGTAGCCTGTAGGTCGATGGTTTCCCAAGCTCTTCATTTGCAAAGCTCCACGATACCGCGGCAGACTAGCAGTGCTGTATCGCTACACTACATGACTACCTACTAGGATTCCGGTATCCACAGGTCCTGAAGATCACTGCGGATAACAAGGTGCCGCAGAACATTACTCCATACACTGACATGAATTTTTCAAGCCACACGATCAGTGAATGATCAACAGCGACGTATCTGGAGATGGCTACCTCACATTTGAGCCCTGGCTTGTGCTTTGTGCCTTGACCCCAGCAGAAGCCACTTGCTGTACTACGGAACTCATCCCGGTGAGTGAAGGTTCGTGGCTCGGGGACCAATCCGGGCTCTATCACCAGACAAGGTAAAGGCTCTCGAGCTACAGCTTAACGGCGCAATTACGTGACGCTGCCAGACTACCTTAGCCAACCGCGCAAGCCGTCAAGCCATCAAAACCTTGAGCTATTCTATTCTATTCAGTCAAATGACATAGCTTTGCGGTCGTAGAAGCTCCGAATTGATAGGAAGGGAATTCCGCATTGACAATTCCGTATCATCGGTGATAGGGTTTAATTGGAGTGGAGGGCTTGTGCTGAAGTCGTCACGAGAACGGGAGTATTGGTGACCGTTGACGTTGGACGATTCTCCAATACCTTACGGTACGTTCCTGGGTCTCGCAGACTGACATCTCGCATTGTCCTGAATGTCGGCCAAATATCAGAAATCGTTCGACTTTCATTGCACAAGGTAGACTAGCACTCGGGGCAGGCATAACCAATACCACCCCCCATTCGACGGTCGATGATTGACCAGTGCGTAGGACAAGGGGCTGCAGCAAGATCGAAACAGAGCACGCTTAATTCCCCCACAACGAAGTACCTGCTTAGAAAGTATTACCTCAGGCACTAAGGGACCGAACCCAGACGAAAGGTATCTTGATTTACAGACTTCCAAGTGTACTCCATACGTGCTTGACATCTCAGATAAAGGTACTTGGCTACGTATAGAGAACCCGTAGAGGGAAAGAGTACCAGTACCTGACAAGCTGAGATGGTGTTCGTATCCACTTCAACAAGTCCATCTCGCCTTTGCAACATTTCCAAGGTCGGGGCTTCCAGAAGTCTTCAGTACCTTAATGAACTTCGACGCTTTCGCCGTCGGACTGCAAAGCAGTATGACCCCTATCAGCCACCTTAGAGGCTTTTCTCTCCTCACTATTGATGCATCTCATGCCTTGGGACAGCTTGTGTCTGGATGTTCTGACTCTGCTACTACTGCATTCACATTCCGACCTTCTAGGTCCGCTAAAACAACGCGGTTCACCTTTCCCCAGCTCCGGCTTGTGGAATTCCGACCTGGAAATGAATAATGTTAGCAGCTAGAGGAAAACCTCGTTCCACAATTCCTGCCTTAGTGTGCACCGGCTTCAGATGAGCTGCATTCACATGGCGACTTCCCTACGTGCGTGCGTGCTACCTTTCTACCTTACACTACTTGCCCCCCTCCGTGCCCCTCCAACCTCAACCTAAACTACGCCGCATCTTGGGCTGCAAGATCATCATCGCCCAGCGTCAACGACTCGTCTACCGGCTTTTCTCCACATCAGCCTCCTGAACATCTCTCCTTTCATCGACTGTAGTCCGACTTCTCCCTCTCAGCCCCGCTCCGGTTTGCTCTGACCGACGACGGAAATCGATGTTGTCTTCCTCTTCAGGGACTACATTCCAGGTACAGGGACGAGCAAAACCTCCCATGATGTTGGCGACTACATCCCTGGCGCAGCCCCTGAACGACAATCGAGCTTGCCCTTGACGCCGTCTTGGATCGACTTCTCGAGAAGAGTTTGACACGCCGCCAGCCAGACCATCAAAATGTCAGTCGCAACAGGAGTGGGAACCGCCGTTGACACGCCACGCCACGCCTACCTATTCTTAACTTCGTTCTAAGTCCCCTTCGAGAAAGGCCGACTTCAGATGAGAGCTGGAGCCCCAATCATGCCCTTCCACCACCGAGAGCTTCCTGGGATCGACACATTCTCAACCTCATCAGCGTCGAGGCGGCACAACTACACTGGGATTGCCCCCAGAGTTGCTCCGGTTTCATACCCACCCTCCGTGCTCGAGACCTGCCTTAACGCTACTGTGTTAAGCCTTCCATCCCTCCCCGGAACCCCCTGACGACTTCCATGGTTGACTTCTTCGTCCTCCTCCCGGCGATGACGACTTGCTGATGCGGCCTGTCTCGAGAAATCGCGCCGCCCAAGCGGTGCAGCTGAGACCTCTGGATTCCGCCAGATGCCAGCTACTTGATGCCAGAAAACGGTATAGATTAGACGGAACAGAGTTAAACAAGACAGTGTATCCCAGGCAAGTACGCGACCTCTTCTCGTTCTTATTCCGTCGTGCTAATGTATCATCACCGATACTAGCGCTCCCGGCGCCAATCACATCATCCTTACAAGCCGGATTGTCGAACTTCAGAGCCACCACAATCTGCCCAAGATTGAACAACACATTTGTCGACCAGAAGAGCCAACTACGAAGATGCTGTCGTAGGGTTCTCGCAAGCTCTGACAGGATTGTCCGGGTGGACGACAAGCCCCATGCTTGCTCACCTGTCACCGTCGTCCGTCATCTCGGAGGGCTGACGGCGACAAACTCTCGTCAACGTCGCATCCACAGGCATTACAACCTTGCTCTGGCTCACCCAAGCTACCAACCATTACAGATACAGGCTGAACCATGGCGGTACTCTTCTACGGAGTACTTCTCGACTGTAGCATACCGACAACTCATCAGGTCAACAATCTTCCGACACTACGAGTGGTTTTTACTTGGCGTGTTCGTGTTCCATCTGCCCGTACCCCCTCCTTCGAGGTGACAGTGTTGATTTCATCAAAAGGAATAGGCACGTACCTCGAAGCTTTCCTCGCAAATCTCATCTCGTTGTGTAGTGTACGGCAACATTGTACACATCCCCCGCGCGCCCCAGTCTCTGTCTTTCCCCGACCGCCCTGCTCCTTGTCGATGCTTGGGTAAATACATGACTGGCTATGCAACCTGCGTGCTGTCGGCGAGAAATGCTCATCAATCAAGGATGCCACGGCCTGTGTGGTCACATATGGATCGAGCGATGTACGTCTACTGCGTACATGCAAGCCCATTCTTCTCCACGAACCCCCGCCGGATGATCTCCATCGCCTCCCCCCTTCCTGACACCTCGCAAAGGGACAATCATCAAACCCTTGTCATGCTTATCCGTGATACCTAGGTACTAGCAGCTATGGCTGGCCAGACTTCTTTTTTTTTTTTTTTTTTTCACGCCATGGTGGACCCTTTGCCGTTACTGATGAACCCTGTTCCTCAGTAGCGACGCAGCGCAACCAAGCATCCGCGTAGCCGATGAAGGATTTCGAGCTGTATTAGCCTGTGAGTGGACAAGCTTTAAAAGGACGATAGTTATGAACGTGCCGACGAAAACCAGGTTGGCGCATTCTTCCGAGAGACTACTACGGCACGCGAGGAACCAAGCGTGGTGTGTTGATATGTGTAACACGGACCGATATGCTTAGATTTCGGAACAAGATACCACGGAGTGCGCACGCGGCTGCTTCATGGTCGCCAAAAGGGGTCGGCGTGTGCCGCGTACGCCTTCGCGAACTTACGCTTCGGGTCACATCGCGACTTTAGACGGACTTCAGCCGAGCGTACCGTAGAAGGAGAAAAACTGCTCAGGCGTAACGTAACACGTATATCATCTCACGGAACGATGCAGCTGTCAAACACGAGGATGAAGCAGGTTGTTTGGCTCGGAGGAGACGTGTTTGGGGTCGATCAGCCAAGTATACGCCTCGCAAGAGACACACCGAGTTGAGGCAGGGAGAATCTTTACACGTCCCGTTGGCTTACACAGTAGACAGTGGGAGGAGACGAATAGGAAGCACAAAGGGCCTTGCAGCCCTCACTTATGGTTGGGCAATCTGTCGCTAAGGTCCTATTGGTTATAGGTGTTTTTTTAGGCGACCGTTGCACACAGTTTACGATCCCGCCTGATATTTGACTTTGGAAGACGGGACGATCTCAGCTCCGGAGACCAAATGTGGTCCCCGACGGACAACATGTTCAGGGCCGCATCCCGTCAGACGCTGAGCAGCGACATTGACCACGTCCGTACTGGAGGAGCAAACGACGCGTAGGGACCTCGGGGTAATTATGTTTTCCTACGATGTATGTCGTCGGCGGCGGAACCCGCAAGGAACTGTCTCCCATGAGACCTCGTTAGCGTCCACGTTGTTCGGTCATACGCACCTAGACGGGGCGAAGTATGAAGAGCACAGATTTGGAAGGGTAAGAAGCTCCAAAGATGCCCTTGAATCTTGAGAATGAGGCCCCAGCTGGCCTTACTAAGTCCTTAGCGATGATCCCAAACGGTCTTCGTCCCGGAGCCAGATAATCAAGATACCTTGCAGGCTTACATGACCTAGAAAACAGTCAGTTGCCATTGGTTTTCCTCGGCTCGCCCTACCAGTAGACGCAATACAACGAATGCAATGGCACTAACGGCGCATGTTCTCGGCGCAATCTGGAGTGTTCAAGCGTGCACCTGCCGCCCGGTGATCCGGCCACCCGACGGAAGAATCCACTCTTCACCCTTATTACTGGCGAATTATCATCACGGCTCCCTGTCGGCACCGTGCCTTTCCTTTACCTGCCTAGGTGAGCGCCTTAGCTAACCGTGAGGTAAGGATACAGGTAAGGATATGCGACGTTTCGATACCAGCCTGGGAAACAGACTTTTGCTGCACGCCCCCCTTTCCTTCATTACTGTGGCATGTACCGCCGTATATCCCACCCCTCCCGGGGATATTCTCCACTCTCTCTTCGTCCAAGTCCCTGTCGTTCCCATTTTTCTCCCGCGCAAGCCCCCCCGTCACTCAATCCCAGCGGACCCACCTCCGTCCGCACGTCCAAAGATACGACTGGCTCTTCACATCAACGCCACAACCACGGCCCTACGCCTCGATCTGCACTACTAACGATGAGAGACAAGGCTCCGAATCCCTCCTTGCAGCTCGGGCTGGTGGGCTGAAGGAAGGGGTTGACAGGCGTGACAGGCTTCGGAAGGAGGCGGAGACGAAGCAAGGCGACTGGGCCTTCAAGTCTCGGATTCTCAAAAGATGGACGCCAGGCCACCAGCTTTGACTCTACAGCCTTGTCCACAGCCGCAGCCCTTCGGTCTTGCATCCGAAGAGGGCTAGCAAAGATCGCCCGGAGGATGAATTAAGATGATGTTCAAAATCACTGTGAGACTAGTCAGGACCAGGAGGGCTTGTTGCTAATTTTTGAACAGAACGCCTTTCTTTCTTTCCTTTCCATCCGCCATCTTGCCTTTCTCCTTTGGGAAATGAACGTCTCACGCGCTTCGAGAGGTGCAGGCATACAGATACAGATAGACGACGCTCAGACGCGTTCTCTCCCGTATCCGTACATCCTTCTTCATCTCTCTCTGCCCTCATGCCGCGGAGACGCCGTTAGACGTACCCGATATACTGGGCTCGGAACGCAGGGCCTTGGGGCCGCGCCAGCCTATGGAAGGCCTCATCTCATCATTACGAGCTGGGTCCGAGGGAGGCGGCGCAACGTTTTCCCCCTAATGGACCATACCGGTATTGATATAGCATCCATCGAGGAGACCTTCCGTGTCTGCCCTGCCCAAGCGGCAGCATGGCTCCCCCCGAGATCCTGCCCGCGTAACGGTTGTCCCTCATCGGCCCGTCTGCAACTTCATCTCGAGACCCGTCGACCCGTCTTCGCAGGGATTCTGTTTGTCAAAGGGACGAGCTTGATGTCTTCGGAGAGAGCGAGTGCTCGTATTTTCCGGTTCCTATGTAGAGAGGCCACCAGTTCAGGAGGTTTTCTGAACAGGATCTCTTGCGGGAAAGCCAATGACGAGACAAGACGATTCGATCCGACCCCTTGATGCTCGCTCCGTTTTGACGTGCTCGTCCACGTCATTCCAAACAAAGCAGATTCCGAGAGATGCCCGTTGTTTCCAGAGACAGGAATAGAGTCATCGGCGCAGAGGTTCGCTTCTCTGGGTCCTCCAATGGCAGGATGAGGCGGGCTTCTCTCTCCTCCCTCATCTGACCTCGTCGTTGCTCTATCGACGGTGGAGGCATCGCATCCGAGTCGTGGTTCCTACCCCTCCACCACCATCGACCTGTACATCTCATCTTTCAAGTAAGGTAGTCAGGAATAGAAGCGGGAACATCGGCCGTTCCGTTTCGTGAGGTTTAGGAGGGGAGGGGAGTGTGGCATAGCCTCCTCGCAGCATCCAACTTCACCGATGAAAAGAACATTGGTCCATGACGTTGTAAAACATTGTTACACACCACCACGGATCCTAAGATCTGGGTATCCCATCGCGGGATCTAAGGTGGAGTTTAAGAATAGAAGAAAAAAACTCCGTTCGGTCATCCCGTCTTCCCGATCCAGGTTCCTGGGACGCAAACTTCTGGGACGCGACAAACTTCTCTGAGACTAAAGGGAGAAAGAAGGTATCCAATCGTGGAGCGTAGTCTATAGTGCGAGGTGAATGCTTGATACACACGAGCGCCTTGCACCCTTCACGAGCCTGTCTTTTGCGTGAGGGGGCTTGTAATAGGCGATGCTATAGATATTCGACTCTCATTATTCCCTACTTCCTATCGAAACCTCGTTTACCTCCTAGATGTGAGATGTGTTCAGCCCAAGGCGAGAGGGATGTGAGCTTCGTTCGGTGCTCTTTCGGGATGGGCTACGTCTGCGTTTGTCGACATCATGCTTGCCGGTATCGAAGCCGTCTAGAAGCTGCCCGGGGCTCTGGTTCGCTAGTCCATCCAAAAGTCGGACGAGAATAGTAAACAAGACTTGGTCCATGCCACCTTTCTTCCCGTCCCGAAGCTTTCTCACGCTTACTCACGCTTCACCTCCCTCCCCCTTTTCCCCGGGAACGTAGTCAAAAGGCTGTGAGAAGCTCATTCATCCCGGACCGTGAATAGAATCAAGACATGAGATGCTCAACATCACCACTCAACACGGGAAGAGCACCATCCATACCCTCCCCCCCCCTTTTTCCCTCGTCGTGGAGGTTTCATGAGACTATCTACATGTGCCCTCCTCCCTCGGAGACATTTCGGGGATCAATACCAAAAGACAACGGTAAAGAGATACGGGAGAAAGAGAAGAAGAAGAAGAAGGGTGTAAAGGATACACAAGCATATCATCCCCGTCAAGCCGGGCATTTCCGATTCGGACCTATTCTCGTCTCCCTATCCGTGTCCATCCAAGCAATTGTACGTCGACATTGGCATCAACATCAGGACACATACCCCAATCTCCCAGGACAACCCGTCGTATACCACGGCCGAGTTCAGGATTCATCCTTCCCTCTCTCCTCCCTTTCCTCGTTCCTACTTCTTCATCTCACTCCACGTCCACTCTCCTCCCACTTCCCTCGCAACCCCCTGCCCTCTACATCACCCAAGGAACATTCTCTTCACCACAACCTCAAGAAACAAGATTACAAAGACGACGCGGCGACAATAACCAGACGAGGTCCAATATCGCGAGTGACAGTATAGATCAAGACCCCTCCCCCAAAAAACAACACCCACCATGTTCACCCCTCTCCTCCTCGCCCAAAACCTCACCTTCCCTTGCCTTCCCTAAGTCTTCCCTGGCCATTCACATCGATCCCCTCCATGGGCATCCTACCCATACGCACACCCCTTCATCTCCAAGGATGAGGCTTCACCAACATACTCTCCCTTATACCTTCCCTCAATCACGTACCATACACATAGACAGACAGACAGACGCGTAGATAGATGAGATCCACCGACGTCACTAAACCCCCTCCCGTACCTCCTCCCGCACGCAACATCACACGGAAAAAAAGGGTCAGAGGAAAAAAACTCTGCTCACATCCACAACCTTCCTCAGTTCATTATCATAAGACACTATAGTTACGGCGGGAGGGATCAGTCACAATATCTCCTTAACCCCTGGATGCCTGCCTCCCGGAAAACCCGTCCAAGTAGACAATGATAACAGCAACGTTGAAATCTCCAAAAACTCCACGTTCCAATGCAATGCTGCTCTAATGCTCCGGTTCTTCTCCCCAACCTGGAATACCACAAACACCAGACACCAGACTTGCCCTCAAGTCTTTCCCCAAAGTGACGCAGTCAACCAACAAACACCCCCTACCCCCCCATCAAGCACCCTCGGCCTTGTCCTTGCCAATATACACCGGAATGCCGTATACACATACCGCGCCAGCCGTGATGTACCTAAATCGACAGGCGTCCCTAGCCCTGGCGACAGCCTCCACGAGCGACGCGTTCCCACGCCCGGTAGCCTTTGTCGTCTCCTTCTTCGCCTTGCTCTTCTTCTCCGTGGCAAAAAGTCCCTTGCCCTTGCCCTTCTTCTTCGAGCTGTCCTCAACAAACGTGCCCCTTTCCATCAGTCCCCATTCCTCAAACAACCGGCCCGCATACCGGTCAATGTCCCTATCCGTCACGTCCCACAACGTGCCCACAACGGCGGGACACCCGGCGAGCATGTAGTTCCATACTGGACCGTGGCACTCGTACTCGCCGACGTTCTGCAGGGACGCCGAGCTACACCCCATCAGCAGCGCCGCAGCCTTGCATTTCTCCAGTCTGCGGATCGTCTTGCCTCGAATGTATTGCGCGCCGCTGCCATGGCCAAAGTAGAGGAGTATGTCAGACTTCTTGAGCGCTCCCTCGAACTCGTTCTCGGTCGGTGTACGCGAGACGATGCCTGTCCAGGACTCGCCCAGCTTCTCCTTGAGGGGCTTTTCGAAAGTGGCGAGAGTGTTCTTGAGATCAGAGCCGGGGTTCAGAATGTACGTGCCACCGACAGGTGATACAGTGTGTCGGTGGTGGGCCTTTTCGTCATCAGAATCTCGGGCCTCGCGCTGCTCTAGAAGTAGTCGACGCAGACAGGACAATGAGGGAACGCGAGAATACGCCAGACCCTCCGTGCATGGGAGTGATTCCCAAGGGAAGGCATGGAGAGCCTTGTCGAGGATGAGAATGCTGTGGGCGCCTTCCTCGGGCTCCGAAGTCTTGGCAGCGTTATGGTACGCCTGAAGAGCATCAAACGTATCCAAGACCATGGAGTCAAAGTCAATCTCATCGTAGGCGTTTCTCTCGCCGTGGAACTGAAGAATGTCCACGACAAAGTAGAGAAGATCGTTCAGAGGCTCCTCAAGATCGCTGTCCGGCATAGACGGGTCTCCCAGGCCAACGAAAAGATCGAGGATACGCGGCTCCAAGGTAATCTTGGGGGACTTGCTAGTCTTTTTTCCTCGGACCTGCCTGCGCGAGGGCAGATGCTTGTCAAGAATCTTGGAAAAGGCCCTTTGGAACTTGGCGATGAGATCGGCGCGATGACGATGTTGGGAGAAGATGCCCTTGAACCCACCGAGCCAGACCTGCTCGACATTGTCGAGGAGATCCTTGAATCTGTTGTCCAGATTCTCGCGCTGAGCCCACCACGCTGATTTGGCCCCCTTTGCAGTGTAGTCACCAGTGTTGTGGCAACTCGCGTTGGTCGCCTGGATAATATCCATAAGCTCGTCGTGTCCATGCTGGAAGTCGAACAGCTCGTCCTCGCCGTCGCGAGAAGCCACACGCTCCAGCGGTAGTCGTAAGACGAAAGGGCTCTGGCCTGATTGTAACTTGGTGATGCACAAATCCTTGCGGTTGTCGCTTAGCGCGATCGACAGGACACTCCACGCTTCAGGAATGATGTCGATGTAGTCACGCTGGAATTTCGCCATATCGTCAACAGTAACAATGCTTGCCCGTCTATCATCTTTTAACGTGAGAGCAAGTGGCCAGCCCGCCTCGCTGAAGCTGGCATTGAGGTGATCCGTGGCTACGGTGTTTCGCTCCCGTTTCCAAGTCAGATTTCGTGCAAACTCGACGGAGCAGGCGGCATATCCAAAGCCTCCCATGTGTTTGGGCGTCCGATGAGAGGCTGCCGATAGGAAAATGCCCGTGCTCTGAAGCAACGCAG